GCTGGGCAAAAGAAAAAAAAAATCTGCCTTTTTTCCCCAGGCTCTGTGCCAGAGTTTGGTTCATTCATTAAACAAATGCATTGCGCTACATGCTGTCCTGAGTTCTGGGAACACCGTAGAGAACAAAACAAGGGCCCTGCCCTCAAAAAGCTTTTGTTTTCTGTTGGATACAGACGGCAAACGAATCATCTGCATGGGAAGGGAAACCCAACTCGTTCTCCTGCCCGTCCTGTTCCTCCTGCTCCATCCGGATCTGGTCCCTGGGACTCTGGGCACTGGCGGGATCTGAGACCCCTACCAGGGTCCAGGAGTGTAGAGCCGGTGGGTGGGGCTGGAGTGGCGTGATTATTCTCTCATATCTCACAGCCAATACCTGTTCCATTGCCCAAGAATTCCTAAGAACTGATTGAATGCTGATACCCGGGCCCGGCCCGCGCAGCTGGGATCCAGAAGCTGTAGGATGGGGCTTCACAGGGCAGGACAGGGTTTTGCCTCCTGCAGATTGGGTCCACAGCAATAGCACACCTGTGCCTTAGACGTGCAGTGAACTAGTTTCCTTACAAATACCTTCCACAGTCTTTTTCTGAATTTTCATCTCAACCAGAGGGAGTGGCCCTTGTGGCCACCAGTGTGTCCCTTTAAGAGAGAGGCTTGTCCCTGGCAACTGGTACTCAGGTGGGGCCCTGGAGTGGCCCTAGGGAGAGGGAGGAGTAGGACTGGGGGAACTGGGACTAGAAAGACTGGCCAGAAGGCATTTCCAGAGCACCAAAAGAAGCCAGGCCTAAAGACAGGGGGCCTGAGACCCTAACCCAGAAGGTTCCTGCTCAGGAAGGCAGGCTCTGGCTCTGTGGCGCCAGGCATCTGACTGAGGTTTGGAGGTTAGTGCAGCTTCCATATCTGGTTTGGACACTGTGGCTCCTATCCTGGGTGTTTCACTTACTTTTGCCAAAAACCTTTGGAGGTGAGTACCCTTATGTCAGTTTCTAGAGGTCAGTACTGACACTAGGGAGGTGAAGCTGGCTTTCAGGATCACAGTGTAACCAGGATTCACATTCTGTTCTGTTCCTCTAAAGCTTGTGCGTTTCCCTGCCCCCTTGCTGGAAGGCCAACTATCAATGCGTGCTGAGTATAGTGGGTATGGATCCTCTTTCTCCCTGCCTGGAGTGTGACTTTTCTAGGGTTGCAGTCCCAGCCTGTGGGGCAGTCTTGGTGTGGTGTGTATATAGTCAGACTGACAGCTCCTGGGGCTGCCCCGACACAGCCCAAGGGTGACCTTGGGAAGGTCCTTCCCAATGTCTGAGCCTGTTCCTCATTTACAAATGGGGCCACCAGTGCCTGCCTCCTCCAAGCAGTCAGGAAGATGAGGGGCACAGGGAAGGAGATGTGCTACAAGAGGCTTTGCAAAGAACAGTCCGGGCTGGTTGCTGGTTCTAATTCCCTCTGGGTTCAGGGGCAGCAGGAGGCCGGGGAGATTGTGGATGTTGGCTTTTTTCCTCCCTATTTCAAAATGTCTGCTGGGCTTATATTGTTTTCACAATAAACAGTGCATGGAATTTAAACAAGTAGAAGGGCGCATGCTCAGAGGTTTTTATGGAGGGGGTGGAAGGCTGTGGCTGGGTTGGCAGCAGTCCCCCTTGGGGCCAAAGCCAGTGGGGATAGGGATGACACTGCCCCACCTGGAGGTGGGGGGCAAGGGCGGCAGCCCTCCCTACCCCCACACCTGGATCAGCGCCCAGCCCCAGGACTGAGGACTTGGCGATTCACTCCTCATCTCTGGAACCAGACGCAGGGAGATGAGTCCCCACCGGGAAGGGTGGCAGAGACTATCTGAGCCACAGTCTTCATTCTACGAATGAAAGAAGAAGCAGCTGAGGCCCAGAGAGGGGGAGGCCTTCATTAGGGTTATTTGAGTCAGAGGCCTGTATCCAAGTCCAGGGTTTTTTATGACCTGATCTCCTCTTCAATGTTGGCTCCCCAGGAGATGCTGGCTCTTTGCCAGGTCCTGGGCTGGACGCCGTGCTCCCACGTGATCAGAGCCAGGCCCTACCCCTGGAGGGTGCCCTTGCTAGTGGGAGTGCGCCAGGAAGCGGAGAAGACTCCATTCTGGGGTGGGGAAAAATCAGGACGGTTTTGTAGAAGAAACGCTGGAGCTGGGCCTTTAGCTCCAAGTAAGGGACAGCTCTGCGGACAGCTGGGGAGAGGTGACCCGATCCAGCAAACTGTAACTGAAGGAGGGGTTGGAAAGCGCTTGCAGTGATAGGGCCCTGTACTTGCTGCAGGGTATGGGGGTTGGAGAGGCCCAGGGTCTGAGAAGGGCCTTGATGGGGTACCTGGTTGGCTCAGTGAATTAAACATCAACCTCTGATTTTGGCTCAGTTCATGGTCTTGGGGTTGTGAGATCAAGGCCTGTGTCGCTGTCTGTGCTGGGTGTAGCACCGGCTTGGGATGCTCTCTCTGCTTCTCCCTCTGCTCCTCCACGGTGCCACCTGGTGCCCATCTTTCTCCCTGCAGTGTGACCTTGTAGGGGCTCTCTCCAGGGGTGGCATGGGGGCGGGGGGAGTCTGTGGAGCAGAGATCTCTGCAGGGGACTCTGGGCTCCCAGGCAACGCTTCAGACCAGGGCCCGTCCCACAACCCCTGCCCCATTCCAAAGCAGCTGGGCTCCATGGTCAAGGCGCTCACATTCAGAGATGTACCAGGCCCCTCCTGGGTTCTCTGCTGCCTTCTCAGGCCAGAGCCCCTCTGAGCTTGAGGAACCATGGGTCTCATGGTCCAACCCGCCAGCCTGGGTGGACATCCTCCTACGCCATCTTCCCACGCCAGGGCAGGTCCTGCCCCCACGAGCGGCCCACTCTTACCTACTGGTTCCCTCAAGCTTTGGGGAACTTTGCTGGAATGTCCACTCCTTAGAGCTTCCTCTATCCAATACCACCACCAGCCACCCTCTCTCCCTCCTCAATGGTTCTCCTCCCACCTTCCGGGGCTTTACAGGTCCTCACTACATGCTGTGAGAGAACAAAGGCAGGCAGCACAGAGCGGGTCCTCAAACCCACAGAAAGAGGGGCGGAGATGTTCACAAAATCCAGTATCTCGTAGGATCACGGAATCTCTGATGACTTTTTCCTCTCGTCTTTGTACTTTCATTGGTCACTTACATTTTCTAAATATAGATTATCTTGTAAATCCCTCCCCCCCAAAAAAAATTCACTTTGGGAAAAACAGATTAAGAACTTTAAGCCCACCCCAGAGCAAAGCTGGAGTAGCTCCGTCAAAGCTCATGGACTCAGGGCAAGAGGCTGACTGGCTCTGTAGTCATCGCAGCTCTGACCGTTCCTGTCTCTGGAGGGGCCCATTCCTCCCCGCACTTTGAATACCCGGGAACCGGCGAGGTTCGGGGGGGCCTTCCTCTCCGGGCACTCAGCTGATACACAACACACCTCCTCTTCCCTGACTCCTGCACTACCCCCCCTCCCTGGTTTTCTGCTGCCTCTCACACCACCCCATCCCCAGTCTTTTCTTTTTTTTTTTTTTTTTAATTTTTTATTTATTTGACAGAGAGAGATAGATCACAAGTAGGCAGGGAGGCAGGCAGAGAGAGGGGGAAGCAGGCTCCCTGCTGAGCAGGGAGCCTGATGTGGGGCTCGATTCCAGAACCCTGGGATCATGACCTGAGCTGAAGGCAGAGGCTTAACCCACTGAGCCACCTAGGCGCCCCCCCAGTCTGTTCTCAACACAGCAAATCGAGCATGTCATTTTCTGACGTACAAGGCCTGGCACCATCTGACCCACCAGGTTCTCCAGCCTCCACACCTTCCACCAACACCTCAGCTCTCAGGCTCCAGCCACTCCAGTCTCCTTCAGTCCTTCCAGTGTTCTTTACACTTGCTGCTCCCTCTGTCCGGAATGTTCTGTCGCATCTGTCCTTTGTCAGTTAGGCCTCAGTTGAAACATCGCCTTGTCACACGGCTTCCCCCCATTCACACACTCTGCTGCCACCTGGTTTTAATTCCTCCCCAGGGCTGTGCCACCTCAGATGACCAAACTTCTCTCCCCTTTTTGTCTCCCAACCTCCCCAGAATAGAATCCCTGCCAGGCAGAGGCCCTGTTGGTCCTCCTCACCACCGTACCCCCAGCCCAGAGTCCAGTGCTGCTTCATATATGCTTGGGCTATGTGATCTCGGAGCAGGTACTCTTAAGGACTCCTGCCTCTGAACATGCCAGCCATCACGGGGTGGGGGGTGGGGGGAGAAAACAAGGCCAGCCAAAGCCACCTACCCTGTGTGTCCTCTGGGGAGCCAGAACCATCTTCTCCAGCTAGTGTGCTGGAAAGACTCCATGCCTCAACAGTGAGGTCTCACGGGTGTGGTGGTGAGAACACAGGACCTAGACTCCAGGGCTCAGCCATGGGCCACATGGGTAACTTTCTTTCTCCGCACCTGTCTCCCCAGCTGTAACAGGAGACCCGTAACCACATCTCAAGTCTGTCGCATGTGAAAGCACCTAGCACAGGCTCAGCCTGTGGAAGGTGCTCGCTCAAAGTGGGCGAGTACCAGGAGACGCTCAGAGAGCTCTCCACCCACCCCGACTTGTTCAGTGAGGTCACGGTAGCAAGGTGGGGAGAGATCCTTAGGGCCGCAGACACAGCCGATAGCCAAAATGAAACCAGAAGGGAACACTTCTTGGTGAGGTCAGATGTCCTCTGAAGGCCCGTGTCCTCGGGGAAGAGCTCTGAAGCTGGGACCAGCAGATGGGGCTCTGAGTCTTATTCTACCACGGGTCACAAGGTGACACTGGGCAAGTGATATTCTCTCTGGGCCTTTTCCCCATTTTTGTAAACCAATGGTGAAAGTCACGCATTCTTCCCTGCTAGTGTCACTTCTTCTCCATAAGGCTTACGACCAAGCAAAGGCAGACTATCTAGACTCAGCAAGGTTAAGCTCAGAGGCAGACAGAAGCCTGGCTATGCTGGACGCGTACTGTGACCTTGAGGCACTACACAAATATGGCAGGCAGAAATGAGTTTATTGCATTAGAAAAAACACCAAAGAAACCAGCAAACACCTCCATACGAGACAGTTATTAGTAGTTTGACTTTAAGGGCGAAAAGGAATCTCAAAGGTACAGCTTTATTTTGGGGAGGGGTGATGGTCTCATCCGTCCTTTTTCCCTGTCCCTTTAAACCAATGGACCTCCATGGAGGTGTCCGCTGTATGATACGATTACACACATGGTTCAGTTTTCACTCTGCTCGCCTCGCACACCCGTGTGGAGCTAGCTGGTCACAATGAGCCCGCTCCTGGGGTTCTGGGATTGACCAAGACATGTGAGGATGGGGCTAGGGGTCGTAGCCTGAGCCCAGGCTTCCAAAATGAGTGACAGGGGGACTTGGATGGGGAGAGAGAGCTTGGCTTCCTGGAGAGCTCTGAGAAGACCCCACAACCCCCAGGGCACAGGCATTGGCACAAATGGCTGCTGGGCATGGAGGGGGGCTTTCAATGACCCGAGTGACTCAGTCTCTCAGGGTAGCACTTTGGCTAACTTCTCCTGGGCCTGGAGTGACTGCTATTAGGAGTGAAGCCAGCTGAGCCTGGATATGGGGGAGAAGAGGGGAGGAGCCTGTGGTGCCCAGTGCCCACTGGATAAAGCTGAGAGTTCTGGGAGAAGAGGTCTGGAGCAGGAGCCTGGAAGAGAGGGCTAGGCGAGGCAAACTGGGCGGGAGGCAGGGCAAAGGCCTCCACCAACAAGCTGCCCCCCTGGGAGAGAGAAATCCAGCCTGAAACCCACTCTCCATGAGCCCAATTCTGCCAATAGGTCCACATTAAGTACAGTCTCTGCTGGTCTCTGCTCTCCAAAATGACCCTTGACATCAAAGCTGGTCACTGTGGAGGTGCCCCTTGTCAGGTCACAGACCAACACTAGGGGAGAAGACCATCTTTTCCTCTAGCTGAGACCCCAATGGTGCCAACTGCTAGGACTAATGGCAGAGACAGGAGGGGATGAGGCCAGAGATGAGTAGCAGCTTTCTGAAAAGCAAAGGCACCTGCTATGGGCCAGACCCCAGGAAAGAGAACATAATTCAAGTCTGAGAAGAGGCAGGAGCTGTGGCAGGAGCCCACAGATGCCAGGGCTGGGACTTGGGGACCCGGCAGTTCTACATCCCTTTGCCACACTCACTGCCCCAAAACTTAAGAGAGGCACGCGAAAAAAAGGAATCGGAGAGCCTCTCCAGAGAAGAAACGTCCAGATTGTTCCTCCCTATAAGCTCCTGCAGCGGCTCATTAGGAAGGTGCCCAGGCAGGCTCTCAACAATGCATCCTTAAAGTCCTAACGACAACGGAAATAACATGTGCCTTCAAAACACATTGAGGAGAATGTAAAAATCTCTATTGGAAACAATACACAATTTTCTTGCCACCTTAATTCTGCATTATTACTCTTTCTACATCAGGGATAGTTTCCTAGAGCAGGGATTCTTCCCCCTTGGTCCCCCGCCGAACACTGCATACTGGTTTGGGCGCTGGGGGTGGTACAGTGACTGCAAATAACCTACATTATTACTGGTAGACAAAAGGCCTGGGTCTCTGGCGCTCCAGCCCAAACCTCCACCGCGACAGGCCAGCTCCACTGAGGAAGAGCAGCCCGCGGGCAGCTAGGCAGGTTCTCCAAAATTGATGTCAGAGGATTGGCAATCGGTGGGTGGAAGGAAGAATGGCTTTATCCTGTACTCTCTGGCCTGACACTTGCTTTCACTCTCCCTCGATTCTGAGGCTTCTGGTCGCTCCAGGCCTGGCCCTGTGGCCTTGCTTGGGGTAGGGAGGGACGGTAGGAGAGGCTGTGCCTACAGAGTTCACTCGGGTTGGGTCAGTCTTCCTGAAACTGGTCTCAGGTGCACCAAGTCCTTTGGTTCATTTAAAAACCAGAGTCACTGCTTCTGGGATGTCACAACTGGTGCTTCACGGATGTCGTAAAACTCACCTGGGTCCCAGGTAATGACAACCTGGGTAGAGCATGGGCGGTCTGTGGAAAGAGGTGCTAGGTCGGGGCTCCCCCAAACTCTGCCTCCTGCCTTCCGCTTAAACAAACCCCCTCCCTTTCTCCAGTGCGGAGGACGCTCAGGAAGCAGCGTCAGAAGTGAACTCACAGACAAGACAGCCTTAATAAATTAGTATAATACTATTAGAAGGGATGGCATTTTGTTCTGTTTCTTAGCAGCATTGTCCTACACGCAGCCTGATGACATCCTTCCCTGGGAAATTTAAAAAGCCGTCCCCTGGTTGTTAGCTCTGATGTAAAATTATAAAATAGAAATCTGGTAGGGTTTGTTTTGTTTAAAAAGGAAAAGCCCCCGTGAGGCAGGGCGGTCCCATGCAGTCCTGTTAGCTTTGGCCGTTGGGTGGGCCCATGGGGCTCCCCTCAGGAGGCTGAATCCTGGGGTCCAGGAAGGTCCGTAGGGCCTGTCCGAAGGGCCTGTGGAGAAAAGAGACCCAGGGGCTGGGGTGGGCTGGGTGCAGACCATCACAGCTGCGCCCACGGGGGCAGGGGTGCCACCAACCAGGAAGAAGGACAGCACAGCCTCATTCAGTTTTGTCACCTGCCCCGCAAGTGACGTTTATCGGGGGGGCTCTCGAGATAGCCTGCTCTGCCCTTTTACCCTTGAGGTCCCCGCTTCAGTAGATGCTGCCATCTTAGTACCTTCACTGCTAGATACTGATTAGTTTGGTGGCTTGAACAGGCTGGCGACACACAGGGAACTAGAGCTTTCTGACCTTTCTGTACCAGAACATTGCCAATACTGGAGTCTGAGAGATTTTCCAAAATTCCTACAACCTTAAATCAGGGACCCATGACACATCTCAGTTATTGGCCTTCTTTTTCTTCAGTGGACAGTGCCCTTTTTGAAAATCAAGTCCAGATTTGAAGGGAATGAAGCATTCTCGAGCATAAACAGATGAAACCAGGATATATTAGCTGTAATCCAGACAAGTCTTGGAACTCCGCCCATCAAATAACAGTAGCAAGAACATTCCAGCTACTTCTATTTGCTTAGGGCCCCATAACCCAGATCCCTCAGCAACGCTTACTATCTTGGACCCTTAGCAAGGCTGTGGGATTCAACACACCCACTGAGGAACACGCAGGGAGGGCCAGGCCCGGGAGGGCTCTCCCCACCAGGACACAGCAGTCCTGTTTCCTCTGCGAGTTTTTCCTGAGGGGTTCCTACCCACGTGTGGAAAACACCTCACCTTGCCGAGCCTGCTAAACCTGTCAGGACCTCTGGTGGACAGGGCCCCAGTTCAGGAGAAACCGAGTCAGAGTTAGCAGGTGGGACAGGGTCCTGGCGTGGGTAGAGGCTGCCTTAACATAATCAGCAGCCAAGATAGGGACGGGTATGATGGGTTTGGGTGTGCGTGCCCTTTTAGGGGACATCTGAGACTGGGACGACTACATCAGATGGGAGGGCTGACTGAGTGCTACAAAGGCCAGAAGTTGTCTTCGAGGGAGGGCCTCAAAGAGCTCATGGTACAGAGGAAGCAAGACCAATAAATGGCATTTACAGGATAAGCCACCATACTAATGCTCCGATCTATCCTTCGCTTGTCCATCTAAAAGTGTTTTACGTTCATGTGCTTCTGGGGAGGGGCCTGCCTCGTGAGCAACATGACAGACAGATGCCAGGATGGTGTGTCGATGCCCTCGCTAGATTCAAGCGGGTTCCTAAGTCCTGTGGTTGCATTCAGGCCAGGGCAGAGCAGGTCCAACTCCAGGGAGGGTGAAGGTCGCACAGGCGGGGACCAGGGACTGAGGGAATGGTGGCCTCCCCTGCTGGCAGGTGCCATCATAACGGGGCGCACCTCCCATGGGAGGATTCTGCTGAGAGCAGGGGAGGGCAGACGTGGGCCAGACACGCGCACGGACCGTGAACAGGGCTTTCAAGAGCAGGGCCAGAGACCGAGGCCACTTACGTGGATAGAATTTCAGAGGGAAGGTCGGTGATGTAAGAAGGGATCTTCCGCCCAGTCAGGAACTGCACCACTTCGTTGGTGAAGGTGTTACAGTTGTTTTCAAAGACATTGTAGGACTCTCTCCTGTGCGTTGTGGGAAAGGTTTGGAGAACAGATCAGAGGGGCAGCGAGCATGGATGTGCAACAACTCAACCGAAGTAACGGCATGGCGAGCTCAGCTGAGTACGAGCCCTGGGATTCTCCTTCTCTTACACTCCAGAGGGCTGCTGGATTTGCCACCGTGGACTGTAAGACCCCAATTTTTAAGGGAAGGAGGAAATAAAAATATATGGCTCCTCTACCGTTTCAGGAGAATCTTTGTATTCACCAAAGCAAAGCTCAAGGGTTACAGCTGAACGCTTACAACCGCGGATTAAAGCTTCTTGAAGAGAGAACCTACTCAAGGTTGCTTATCATCCCAACCCCTCCACAAACCCCGTTTTTGACTTTTCAGGACAAGATACTTGCCCAGTGTGGGCTGCGAGCAGCAGCTGCTGATTTCAGTTGGGAGGAATAAATAGGCCTGCCTGCCCTCAGAGTTCCGGCAGAAGATATGCTGGGACGGACTACCAGCCTTGGAGCAATGCTGAGCTCTCCCTGGGGGCAGAACTGCCTTCTCTTCAAATGCATTCAGCCAATACTGGGCCAGACCTTGTGCTGAGTGTGCTAGAGGATGTGAGCTGGTGGCTGCCCTCCAGGGCCTGTTATCTAGTGGGGAGACAGACCTGACTAACCACCGCCCGTGTCTCCACTCACCGGAACAGAGACTCCCTCAGGGAGGAGAGGTACTCCTGAAAGAGTTCTTCTGTGACTTCCGTGCTCCCCACATCAACCACAGAGTCTGGGGGCCCAAGCAATGTCCCTCCCTAAAAGAGCCAACCCAAAGAAAGTCATTAAGTCACTATCTCCACTGAATTTTTTTCATGTGGCATCCCATGGAAGGCCACCAAGCTCTGTCCCAACAACGTTTAACTTTCAGAGCACCCAGGGCGGACGAAGAGTGTTATATCCTATCGGATCAGGCTGCAATGGTTTAGAGCTTCCCGTCAACTCTCCACTGCCACGTGCTGGCCATGTGCCTAAGAAGCTGGGCTGTTGGTTTCTGGTGGGGCCTGGGGAAGCCAAGTCTCTGGCCGGTCAGACCCCTTAGGCTGTCTACTCATCTGGTTGATTAAAAGAATAGAAATCCAAAAAAAAAAAAAAAAAAAAAGAAAAAAATCCAGAACCTGAAGTCTCCCTTTGTCTCCAACATGCCTGATCCCAAGGGCACAACAGGATAACCAGAAATGGCTAGCACTTGACAGGCCAACTTTCTAGGCCTACATTTAAGTGTCTACAGCCAGTTTTCTCTTGTGACATACTTGATATCCCTGGGTAGACTGGGAAAATGTGAAGGACTCTTGAGAGATCCGGTGGGCTGGCAAATACTTTCACAACTCAGTTCTATTTTGATCTGTGAAGATAATCTAATAATGGTGATAGGGTTCCCCAGGCAAGAGAGTTAATGGGCCATGGAAGGCCTACAGAAAACCCTCTGCCACGGGTTAACAGACTGCCACAGCAGACCAAAGGAGAGACTGAGGCCAAGGGGGAAACCGGCCAAGGGTGAAGCAACAGATCACTGGGGAGGACAGAGCTGGGAAGGGGCTGGGGAAGTAAGGGAGAGGACTCCTGAGCAGAACTCCTAGAAAAGATCATTCATTCATGCAACAGCTATTAAGCACCTACTGTGTGCGTGACATTGTTCTAGGCACGGCGGGGGAAAGCATGGCGAGCAGGGCAACTATGGTGGTCCAAGAATAATGGTCTCAGAATTGTAAGAGACTGAAAGGTCACTAGTTGAGTCCCTATCGTTCACTCATATGACAAACATGCATTGAGGACTTACTAGATGCTGGCCTTACACTAGGCACTGGGGGTATGATGGGGACAAAACAGATGAGATCCTTGCCCTCATGGAGCTTATAGTCTAGCAGGAAGGCAGGCAAAAAAGTCCCATAAACCAATGCATAATTATGAGCTGCGATAAGGGTCTTGCTGGAAAAATACAGAGCACCACCAGTGCGTACGACAGGGGACCTTTCCAGTCGGATGGGTTTGGGAAGACTTGCCTGAGAGACTAACACTGAACTCAGATCTGAAGGACGGAGAGGCAGAACCAGGTGAAGGATCAGGGAGGTGGGCTGAAGTGAGAGCTTAGGTTCCAATGTCCATGGAATGTTCCAGAAATAAGAAGGGGGTGGGGGTGGGGAAAGGCACCACCTGAAAAGGTCATGCAGAGCTAGAGACCGAGACCAGATCAGAGAGGGCCTGGAAGCCAGGCTAAGCTTGCTGGGTTTTATTCCAAGAGCAGTAGGGGGAGTTCTGACAGAAGCAGGGGAATGCCATGATCAGATTTTCATTTTGAAAAGATCACTTTGCCCCCTGGGGGTAGTCCTGACGGAGGAGGAGCAGAGGTACTGCTGCGGTCCAGGCTAGATGTGAGGGTGGCATGGACAAAGGTGAAAGCTCTGGAAACAGGGGAAGAGATGAAGAGAGAGAGAGAGACTGACTTAAGATACATTTACAAGATGGAATTAACTGGGCTTCATGAAGGATTTGGTAGAGAAGGTGGCGAACCGGTGAGAGCAAGAAATCAGAATGCCTTTCCATTTGTAAGTACCAAAATGAATGGTTGGCTGGTCTTTGTTTGACCACCTCCTGTGAAAACCCTTAGATAGCTCGGAGAGGAATTTCTTGGAAAGATGCATGGACTTTAGAGGCAGAGAGTCCTGACTTATACCCCGGTGCCACTTACTGGCCCCGGTGCCACTTACTGGCCCTATAACTTGGGGCAACACACTTTACCTCTCAGAGCCCTCATCCTTCAGCTGAACGCTGGCTGAGTTCCTACTATGAGCTAGGCACTGAGCTGGTGACGGGGACAGAGGGTGAGACACAGTCTCAGGTCACAAGGAGCTGACACACAGCTCCCTGCAGAGACTCAGGAACGGTTCATCTACCTTATCACACTCGGTGGGACCCAGAGGGACCCCCCAAATGCAAAGGGAGCAGAGAGGAAGCTAGGGAAGGGTGTTCTTGAGCTGAGTCTTAAGGTAGTTACGAGGAACTATGTCACAGGCCAACATCCACTGGGCTAAAAGCCAGACATGCAGAGTGGGGACCCCAGGGACCTGAGACTGGGGAAGGGTGTGAGGGAAGCCACTCACTGGGGGACAGCTGGAGATACCGCCAACGCCGAAGTAGAACTCATCCTTGTGCACAACTATGGAGGTGTGCCTGCAATGCAGAGAAGTGAGACAGTGAGCCAGAAAACTTAAAACTGGTCTGGGAAAAAGCAAATACCACACTGGAAGTAGAGTAATTTCTGCCCAAGGATAGGACTTACAAGGTCAACAGCCTTATGTAACTAACCAAAGGCATAAATATCCTACAGAGTTTCTCATCTTTGGCACTATTAACATTTGGGGCTGGAGAACTCTTGACTGGGGGGCTGTCCTGTGTATTCTAGGAAGTTTAGCAGCATCCTGACCTCCCCACACTGGATGCCAGGAGCACCCCGCTCCCACCAGCTGTGACAACCAAACCTGTCTCCAGACACTTGTCTGGATTGTTCTCGGGGGCAGAACTGTCCTCCTGGAGAACCGTTGCTATAGATCATGTCAGCAGAGGGGAGGCCCTGGATTCACCCTGATACTGAGAAACCGTTAGTGAAATCAAGCTCTGCAGACCAGGTGTGTTCCCAGACTTTGAAAACTAACAGGAGCAGATAACCTGGACCCTGCTGAGGGCCAGATCAGATGAGAAGTGTGGACCTATTTCAGGGGAAGGCGGTCATATTACTTGGTCTGAGTCAAACAAAACAAAGATCATTCTGGTCAGTCCAAATGTCAGCAGGCTCTAGGAGTCCAGGTGAAATACTGACCTACGGTTTCCTCCTTCATGGAACTGAGAACCCAGCTACCATCTTGTCCGACAGGGATGGATCGAGGACAGAGGCACCAAAGTGGACGAGTTTCAAGACAGACATGTGGGGCCCTTGAGACTTCTGTAGTTAGAAAGCCTTGGTTGGGCGGGTGGGCATGACATCATCCTGCCTTTCATTAGAGCAGGGTTTCTCAACCTCAGCACCACTGCCATTTTTGGGGCTGGATAATTCTTTGTTGTAACAGCTGTCCAGTGCACGGTAGGATGTTTACAGCAGCAACTCTGGCCTCCACCCACCCATCAAAAATGTCTCTAGACACTGCCAAATGTCCCTGGGGTGAGAGTCAGGGCACAAGATTACCCCTGGTTGAGAACCACCACTGCTTTAGAAGTTAGAAGTTTGATGACAGGGAGCGCTGGGTTTCAAGCTGGAAGCCACAGACAGAGACCTGAAACGCACAGGCACTGCTTTGTTTCAGAAACTAGCCAACCCATGTAGAGTCCCACCCAACTTACCAGATGCCTTCCAGTTGTTTCCCTGTGGAGAAAAGAAGAGATTTAGCCAGTTGGGATCAGACTAAATGTCCTCTCAGCCTGAGTAAATTCAGACCGTCACCGAAACCCAGAGTAACCCAGGGGGCACCTGGGTGACGTGGTCGGTTAAGTGTCTGACTCTTGGTTTCAGCTCAGGTCACGATCTCAGGGTCATAGGATTGAGTTCTGCACTGAGTGCAGGGTCTGCTTAAGACTTTCTTTCCCTTGGGGCACCTGGGTGAGTCAGTCCTTAAGCCTCTGCCTTTGGCTCAGGTCATAGTCCCAGGGTCCTGGGATGGAGCCCCACATCTGGCTCCCTGCTCAGCGGGAAGCCTGCTTCTTCCTCTCCGCTCCCCCTGCTTGTGTTCCCTCTCTGGCTGTCTCTCTCAAAATCAATCAATCTTTGGGTGGGGGCGCCTGGGTGGCTCAGTCGTTAGGCGTCTGCCTTAGGCTTGGGTCATGATCCCAGGGTCATGGGATTGAGACCCGCAATGGGCTCTTTGCTCTGCGGAAAGCCTGCTTCTCCCTCTCTCTCTCTGCTTGTGTTCCCTCTCTGTCAAATGAGTACATAAAATCTTAAAAAAAAAAAAAAATCTTTGAGTTGGGGGAAGAATTTCTCTCCCTTGAGGCAAAACAAAACAAAACAAAGCTCCCTCCCTCTCTGAAATAAATAATCTTAAAAACAAAAACACCCAGAATAACCTATTAAAAACCTCTTGGGAGACTTTCTAGGAATGCAGTTATCCTCCAATAAGGTCCTTTGGTCCTGATACAGGTATGTTAACTAGAATGCAAGATAAAAAACACTGGTACAGATGTTCCCCATTTTGTGTCTGCTTTTTTTTCCCCTTCAGGATCAATTCAACTTTGCCTTTTTATTTTTACTTTTTAAATTTTATTTATTTTTAAAGATTTTATTTATTTATTTGACAGATAGAGATCACAAGCAGGCAGAAAGGTAGGCAGAGAGAGAGAAGGAGAGGCAGGCTTCCCGCTGAGCAGAGAGCCCAATGCAGGACTCGATCCCAGGACCCTGGGATCATGACCTGAGCCGAAGGCAGAGGCTTTAACCCACTGAGCCACCCAGGTGCCCCAACTTTGCCTTTTTAATTTCTTTGTCTCACATACAGAGACAACAGAACAATGGTATAAAAAGGCTGTTATCCACTTCTTCATTGAGCCTATGTGAGGTGAAATCCTTCAGGAAATGACAGAGCAAAACTTGACAAACGCCATCCATCTGAGTAGTCAATCCAGATATATTCTATACCTCCACATGGCAGAAATGATGTTAGGTATGGAAATGAAAATATGAACAGATCACTCTCCTACCTGTAAGGAGCCCAAAGTCAAATGGAAAGAGAGACACACACATAACTAAGTAAAATACAATGTTGATAGGCTCTCATTATAGAGCGGTATAATTACAGAGTGCTAAAAATAAGATGTTATATATAATAAAGATAAGGAAACTTTATAAGCAGCAATTCAACCAGGGAACAAGTAGGAGGGGCAGGAGTGGACCTTTCTGCCAGAGTGAATATGTGCAAATGCACAGCTGTGATAAAGACAGGTTAGAGAAAAGAGTGCAGTGATGGTGACAGGAGGGAAAAGGGCCAGCAGGGACACCAGCAAAGTAGGGTAAGCCCGGACGGAAGGCTGCCCTACACTGTGGGGGTATTCGTGGTTGTCAGGCTGTAGAGTGCCTCGATCAGATCCATGTTTTTATTTTTATTTATTGTTTTTAAAGATTTTATTTATTTATTTGACAGACAGAGATCACAAGTAGGCAGAGAGGCAGGCAGAGAGAGAGAGAGAGGGAAGCAGGCTCCCTGCTGAGCAGAGACCCACCCCGCCCCGATGAGGTGCTCCATCCCAGGACCCTGGGATCATTACCCGAGCCAAAGGCAGAGACTTTAACCCACTGAGCCATCCAGGCGCCCCTGGATCCATGTTTTTTAAAAGACATCTACATCTTGTAAGAGAACTGTAGGGGCGCCTGGGTGGCTCAGTGGGTTAAGCATCCAACTCTTGATTTCGGCTCAGGCCGTGATCTCAGGGGCATGAGACTGGGCCCTGCAACGGCTCTGTCCTCAGCGGAGAGTCTGTTAAGATCTCTCTCTACCCCTACTCCTCCTCCCCTCTTGAAACAATAAAATAAAATACAGTATCACAGTGTATGGTACCCAGAATTTTGATAAATGGAGACTATACTAGGTACAAAGGCCTTGGGGAGAAAAGTAAAGACCTCCAAAAGATAAATTTTACCTTAGGATTGGTAGTAAAATCTAAGAAGAGATTTCAGTATGTAGGGAATTAATATGAAATACTGTGTCTATTTTCAATACAAACATTTCATTCCCTGTTAGTGTTGCCAGGCTAAATGCAGTAACAAGGAAAAGAAAATGTAGCAGAGCTCTATCTCTCCTTCAGTTAGGAGACCAGTGTGCTTTTCACTAAAAGACCTGCTACTTTGGCCCACAAGGCCCAAACGGACAGAGGGATTCAGGCTGGGGTTTCTGAGGTAGCTCCCTAGACTGTGGGGCAGGCTCTGCCCTTATCCAAAATGAGCTGAAATCCCACAGAGGTGGCCGAGAAACAGACTGAAAGCCGCACGGCACTGGTAACTCATATAGGACAAGTCTTCAAATGCAGCTTCCGGGGACGCCTGGGTGGCTCAGTGGGTTAAGCCTCTGCCTTCTGCTCAGGTCATGATCTCAGGGTCCTGGGATCGAGTCCCGCATCGGGCTATCTGCTTGGCAGGGAGTCTGCTTCCCTTCCTCTCTCTCTGCCTGCCTCTCTGCCTACTTGTGATCTCTGTCTGTCAAATAAATAAATAAAATCTTTAAAAAAAAAATGCAGCTTCCGCGGATGTACATCCTTTCTTATCCTTACTCTCAGTTATCCTTATTCTCACAACATCCTTATGCGGTGGAGTAGGGCAAATATTTATTAACATCATTTTACAAACAGGTAAATAAAGAGGCATGGTTTGTCCAGCATAAAAGCAAGGAGGAGAAACCACGATATGGCAATGTACTCGTTGGAGCAGGTCAGGGAGAAACATAAGGGCAGTTGCTCAGCAGCCTGTTCTTGGGAGGAAAAGAACAAGGGCCACAGTCTCCTCTGTCAAGTGACAGCCATTGGAAAGTAGAACGAAACTGATTTTTATTTTTATTTTTTTTAAGATTTTATTTATTTGACAGAGAGAGATCACAAGTAGACAGAGAGGCAGGCAGAGAGAGGGAGGGAAGCAGGCTCCCTGCCGAGCAGAGAGCCCGATGCGGGACTTGATCCCAGGAACCTGAGATCATGACCTGAGCCGAAGGCAGCGGCCTAACCCACTGAGCCACCCAGGCGCCCCATGAAACTGATTTTTAAAAATTTTGTTGGCCAGGGGCGCCTGGGTGGCTCAGTGGGTTAAACCTCTGCCTTCGGCTCGGGTCATGATCCCAGAGTCCTGGGATAGAGCCCCGCATCGAGCCCCGCATCGGGCTCTCTGCTCAGCAGGGAGCCTGCTTCCTCCTCTCTCTGCCTGTCTCTCTGCCTACTTGTGATCTCTGTCTGTCAAATAAATAAATAAAATCTTAAATTTTTTTTTTTTTTTTTGTTGGCCACATTGGGGCGGGAGTGAGTAGGAGGTGGTGATTTGAGACTGAATTAGGTCACAGGGCCATTTTGGAACATGAATTAGGCTCAGTGGATATTAGCACACTACAGAAGCAGATTATTTTCCCATTAGGATTTCGTCAGCAGGCCCAAGAGTGGGTGGGTCAGATGCCCGCATGTCTCCAAGCTTGCTGGAACATCTAGGGCACGGATTTCAAGGGCTATGAAGTATGCACATGAAAACAAATGGAAGGCAGGGATATCAGTCCTGTTTCCATCAAGAGTAACAAAGAATGCAGAGTGAGGTCTGCGTTCGTCAGCATTCCACTGACTGTGAAAGAGGTGAGTTAGTATACAAAAGCCAAGGAGAAAATACTGCATCCTGGCACGGGTGGCACATAGACGTACACGCTGATTGCAGGACAGGCTCGAGATCGGCCCCTGGAATCCTGCTGGTGTTCAGCAAATGTCTGTTTGGTGATGGGGCAGCATGGGGCTCTGTGCGAGCAGCATTAGGTCACTGGTATAAATCAAATGCAGCCCTAGCTCACCTCCCATATTCCTCTAATGATAGTGTTTTTATTTATTTATTTTTATTTTTATTTTTATTTTAAAATATTTTATTTATTTGACAGAGATCACAAGTAGGCAGAGAGGCAGGCAGAGAGAGAGGAGGAAGCAGGCTTCCTGCTGAGCAGAGAGCCCGATGCGGGGCTCGATCCCAGGACCCTGGGATCATGACCTGAGCCGAAGGCAGAGGCTTTAACCCACTGAGCCACCCAGGCGCCTCTATTTATTTTGTTTTAATTCCAGTTAACATGCAGTGTTATTGATAGTGTATTTATTTATTTTTAAGATTTTATTTTTAAGTAATCTCTACACCAAATGTAGGGCTTGAACTCACAACCCCGAGATCAGGAGCCACATGCTCCACCTACTAAGCCAGCCAGGCACCCCTTGATAGTGGTTTTAATTGGCAATGCTTTTTTTTTATTAAAACATTTTTTAGGTTTATTTACTTATTTTTAGTACTCTGCACCCAGTGTGGGGCTCGAACTCACAACCCTGAGATTGAGCGGCACGCTCCTCCCACTAAGCCAGCCAGGCGCCCTTAACTGGCAATGTTTTAATCTGCTGGTTGGCTCGGCATCTGCCAGATTACCAGCCACGTGAAGCGGTTAATGTAACTTACAAAATCAGCTTGCTCTTCTCTGGGGCCACTGGATAAATATTGAATCTAGGTGGGAAAGAGGTAAAAGGAAACATTTGTATAACATAAGTGGGCCTCTGTGCCAATATTGTAAAGAAAAATAAAAGGCTATTGGCAGGAGGGCTTTCCCTTCCTTCAGGCAGAGAAAGGTTATCACAAAATCAAATGCAGTACATTGTTAAAAA